TATCACTCTGTAATTTGTCACACTTTTCTTTGTGCAAAATTTTATAGACATCCCTTTTGTTCCAGCCATCACCTTGAGCTTTAAGCTGTCAAAGATAATGAAATGGTTATTTTTTTTTCAGGCTAATTGTCATAAACTTTAAATGTTACTTTCCCTTAGATTCAGTAATGGTGACTATAGCTAGTCTTGGGGGACAAGTATTTGATTATCCTATTTCTTTAGATCTGAATCCTCTCGTTTACTATAATATCAGAGCGAAATTACTTAAAAGAAGACTTTCATAGGAAAAAGAAAAGGCTGCTAGAAAATCAGAATTCCTTTTCTACTCCTATATGATGCAGGTTTGGGAAGGAATAATTAGGAGATTGAAGAAGTCATATGAATGGTTCTTGCAGTGGGGCGGGTGGGGGGTGTGTTGGTTTGAGCTTGCAACTTTGTAATGCTGAAGATGATAATAACATTGGTGTAAATCACTTAATTGACTGAAAATGGCAACACTGGGATTTGAATTGAGATATGCCTTACTCCACAACCTACTTTCCAATACAGTATTGGGTTCACGTAGCAAATATGTGCCTGACCAGCAGGTCCCCACTGTGGATCTGATTTGTTTTCATTAGGAATCCATGTGGCTTTTGATTTACATAACTGAAGTCAACAGATTTTTCTAGTATTTTACTATGAGGTTGAACAAATGACTCTGTCTTAGGAAAAAAAGATGCATTTGTGAGTACTTAGACGTATCCTATAATCATCCATAGTATTGCAATATAAGACATGAAGAATACCATGTATGTAAGATACTAGAGCAATACTTAATCACATGAACACTTAATGTGAAAAGAAATTCTCTTCTTTATTAGCCAAAAGAAAGTGAGTCACATATTTTGAGCTGAAATGGTATCACAAAGAGAATAGTCTGCCAGGTAATCAACTGCTTCTAAACAGTATCATCTTTGGGGGAAATCTGTATTTTAAATAGATCGCATTGTATAGTCTCAAAAGGAAAATTGCTGGTTTCCTTACAAAACATGAAGTACTTTTCTTCAGGAATTTTTTTCAGTTATCAAGAAATACCACAATGGGGGCCAGGGAAGAGAGAGAGGGGCAGAGCTGAAGAGGAGCAGGAAAGGGAGATGTATTGACCAAGTGGGGTAATTATTCAGAGAAGGTGATTCATATCCCATTCCAAAGTAAATTCAGATTGAAATCTGGTACATAACCTTTATATTCATCATTTTTTTATTCTTGTGTTTAAATGTCTCTCTAAAACACATCTAACTTCAGTCAATAGTTTCCTACCATTTAGACTGTGTGTCCTTTCTTTCAAATAACGTATGAACTGCAAATAGATTAACTTCAAAATAACCCTAGCAATCTATTTGGATTAAAATTATTCTATGGAAAGTCTTAACTGAACTAAAGCTTCGTCTTAATGTTTTATAGATGGCCTTGGTGCTTCAAGTCTACACAAATAAAATGACTTACAGAAAATTCTTGATTAAAATTGAGCAAAGTTTTTTGCCTCTGCTCCTCTTCAGAATGGGATGCCTGGTAGTCAAAAGAATTCAAGTGGAATTTCAAGATCATGGCACCAAGCCACATCAGTGCCTATGTGTGAACAAACACCTTTTCAGGACTCTCATTCAAAAGTTAAATTACCCAATCTATCACTATTACATTTGGGGAAGAAAGACTTCTCTGATCCATAAGAAAAAGTGGAATGTCTACTAATCAAAACTATTCAAAAGATTATAGATATAAAGTCATGTTTTTGCCCATGCATGAACGCCCAATGCAATCTATCACCATACTGGGAACAAAGGCTTCTCTGGCCCCTCAGAAAATTAATCCATTGCCATACACAAATTAGAATGCATATAAAAGTTTCCTTTTTTTATCAAACTTTGGCAAGACCTGAACTTAAGTAACTAACCCCCCCCCCACCCCGCCATCACCTGTTGAAAATCACTTTGCCACTCCACTGCAGAGAGTTTTTACTCTGTGGATCATCTGCTGAGTTTTAAGCAGGCTGCATTCTATGGTCAGTTTCCCTAGTCTTGTTCCTGTTTCAATTCTGATTTAAGCGAATACTTGAAATGCAGTCTCTTCTAGCAGAGCACGCAAACACTCTAGGAATTTGATGCTTTCCAGAATAATCTGTGCTTGTTATGTAAGTACAATCAAAGACACTTTTTTAGAGCAGAACAAAAGAGATTAGATTCGCTTTAGTTTAAATTGTCTAAAGAGAGTTTTCAGTCATGGATTTGCTAATGGCTTTAGTACAAATAATGGAAATAGAATCCTGCATTTTTATTAATCACCCAAGAAGCCTTTCAGTTTCAGGTTTTTCTCGGGAGCTCAGTTACAGAAGCGCCTCTTTTAACAACTTGGAAAAAACGTCATGTCTGATTAGGAAGTTAGTCTTTTCACATTTTGACATCTAATAAATAATGTGAAGTTTAAAGTCTTCACAAATTACATTTATAGGCAGCCAAATACATCACTTTAATGGTGGAAAAACTCAAGGATTTATGGCACCTTTCTCTGTTCCTTTTAATCCTATTTTACTTTTTAAGTGTCAGATAGTTTGTAAATATCTGCATTGAATTCAAACAAATGTTGATAATTAGTTCTCTACCTTGATGGGAGAGCATTATAATTTTATATTAGCAGGTTTTATGTTCTGAAAGTGAACTTTCTGTTTCATGTTTTCTTTATTGCTCAGGATTGTTCCAGCCCAAACAATATCTTTGTCATTCACTTTTCAGATGTGAAACATTTTCATGGACTTCTAAACGTAGAGTCTTCTGAAAACGAGTGATAGAGTAGAATTCGGAAAATGGTCCTTATTTCTGGAGACTGTTTATCCCATCTTGTTTTAGAAGTGGCTTCAGGCTCGGTCACAGACATCCCTTGAGGCTTTTCTTTTCCATTTACTTTGTCCATTTAAGGTTAACATATTAGGCGTTTTGCTACTGAGAGATTAAAATAAGCAACATTTGCGGGCGCTTTCTGTGCTGACCGCTGCCTTCTTGCCTGGCCTCACTGGTATTTCTTCAGTACAGGCAATGTAAGGCTACCAAGTGGAGTTCTTAGTAATGTGTCATGCTTTTCTGTGTATCCCACAAGAAAAGAAAAAAAAAAAAAAAAGAATGAAAATGTGCCTCTTTGTATGCACTGAAACTCAAAAGGTAGAATCATACAGTTTCTCTCCATCAGTTGTTAAAGTCAACTGGCCTGTGGAATTGGACTGTAAAATTCACTGTGACCTTATGAGGAACTCTGCCAGGACCCAGCCATGGCAGGGCTAAGCATTTTCTGGCCCTACCTCTCCAACACTGCAACATCCTCCCATGGTGGATAGGCAAGAAAATAGCCCTGGACACAATAGGAGATACAAAAGCACTACCTGTCAGGGCTAATGTCTATATTGTTTTCAATTTATAGCTCTAAAAAATAAATTGGGGTGAATATGGATGTCAGAACTGTGATTATATCTGTTCTATGTGTTCATTGGTTTCATATTTATTGAGTACCAAGGTATTAGTAATTCACTCTAGACATGAAAATGGTAAAGTCCTTCTCTGGGTGCATAATTATATCTTATATCATTTAAATATGTGCTTTTAAAAATTTCATCATTACCTCTCCCTAGAGAGAAGATAAGTATCATATTTAGCTGGTGTCCACATTTTTATTTTGTTAGAATTTCACAACAGCAGTGAACAAAACCAGGTCTCCTGAAGAGGTAAACTTTGATGGCCATATTGAAAGAAAGTGATGGATGATGAATAAAGCAGAGCCTATCAGGACAGAAGAACTTGTCAGAAAGAAAGAGAGGGCAAGAAGCCTGGAAAACACAGACAAGAAAGCCAGGAGGCTCATCAGTGCCCTTTTCAGAGACTGGAGAAAGATGTATTTATATAAAGTCTTTCTTGACAGATCATTTCATTTAAACTTTATCCCTAGTCATCCATAAAATATAAATGCATTTTTAAAAATTACATTAGCATGCTTATATTCATAGAAAATCGAATGTGTTGTATTGGTGAAGTTCATGTTTATCTATCACTGAGCCCTACCCAGTAGCAAAGACAAAGGGGCAGAGGTTAAACATCTCTCTCTGGGACCACTTGCTGTAGGAAGGTTTTCTTCCTGTGTGAGCATGTCCTTACCTTTTGGTCTTAGGATATGGATAAATAAGAAACTCTAAAACTAAATAAAAGGAATATACCAGGGAAAGAATGAAGTCATCTCACATGTTATAAAATAATACACAATATTAAAAACTGCTTCCTAAAATAAGTACCACTCCACCAAGCATTTCTAATGAATTAATCACAATTATACTCAAACACTTCATTAAGAAAAACCACAGAATCTAATAGTAAAACAGAAATAAATATCATAATAATTTATTTCTTGCCTCTTTAAAAAAAGAGATGAATCTCATCTTTGACTGCTCAAAATATATGCTAAATATATTAACTATTTCTTAGTAATAAATTCACACAGTAATAGATTGAATATAATAAATGGAATCATATAAGGTCATGATTTCAAGTAAAATAAATTACTATAACAAGTTGGATAATATAAGGTCATGATTTCAAAGCACCAGGATACCATTTAAATTTCTATAAGAAGACACTTAACAACCAATGATATTTTCAGGCTCAGAGAATAGATACTGTTAGTATAAATTTTTGTGAAAGAAATTTAATTTTTAATAATAAAAACTATTCTCCATTTTTATCTATTAATGGCCCCTATTAAACACAAATGTATGTTTATATTTGTGAGCATGGGACCCATAATAGAAATTACTTGAAAGGAGTAATGAATTCTGCCCACCTTATAAAATCCTGATTTAAATAAGATTAATGATAATGTGATGTTAATGCACAGATTCCCCCCAAAACAAAACAAAATGCATGTTCATGATATTTTGTCCTACATGCTAGTGAACAAATTAATGCATCATTTTTTTTCTACAGGAATATTGAAGACTTTAATAACAAACCCTCCAAGGTCAAAATGAATACAGGTACGCTGTCTCCATTAGTCTTAAATTCGTTAGACCTGCTCTCTAAAATTATATTCGCCCTGAATCATTAGTTTGACACTCTGTGGATCTTAACTGTGATTTTGAGTTTCTGATGAGATAGACAATCTAAACCTATTTCTTGATGTTTTGTCTTTGTTTCCACTATTATAGCTATCAGAAGTAGAATTTTCTGTTTTACCTACTTTTTCTGTACTTGTGTTTTGGAATTAACTCCTGCAAATCTTAGGGAGCAAATCTTAGGGAGTATGTCATTTGCATCCATACTTTGGACTCCCCCACTTTGAATAAGCTAAATTCAAAATTGCTTTAACAGAAAATATGTAGAGTTCCCCATCCTAAAATTTCTTTCTGTTAACTGCAGTTAGAGTGTCAAAATTTCATAGGAAATCAATTTAATTAATCATTAGACACATATGAAGTAATACACATTGTATTTTTGATGTGAGAACAGTTGTCTCCAAATAGCTTAACAACACTGATGCCTCTGAGCTCTGTGTGAATAGATTAATTGTGAAAGTGTTGGTAATACATGCTGTGTGCACAGGAATTTTTTCCATAGTACAAATATTTTAGCTTTTCTTTTTACCTTTTTCCCTCTGGAATTTTTATATAGTCATCATTCTGGAAGGCAACTTTCTCACTGAAATGCTATGATTTATGTTTCAAAAATACCATTTCCTATCCACCGAGTGATTGTTTTAGCCAGTCACCTCATGGCGAAGGAGAAAAGATGGTTCAAAATATTTGCTGACATCAAGATAGTTTAAGGTTTTGCTGTCTCTTGTTGTTATCAGAGTGCCTAGAGGGACAATTAACAACCACTGGTGGGAACTAATAAATAATCCCTAAATTGAGTGTAGAGGCATGTTGCTCTGCGCCTCAGTCAGTGGCTGCCCCAGCAGAGACCTGCTCTAATGACCGCGGAGAAAGCTTGGTCCCCTGGTCTCGGAGGATGCAGGCAAGAAGAGGCTGCTAGAGACATCCACAGATCCAAGGGCGGCTTGCAAGAGAAATTGTAACCCCACAAATGAACCAAGTAAAAGCATTTGGACAATTTGGAGATGTGGAAATTTCCATTTAGATGTGGAAATTTCCAAATTTCCAAAGGACAAATCGTATTAGGCAAAAGAGACTGCAAAAAAGCAGATAGAATGGAGAGCCCAGAGCTGAGCTAGGATAAATCATGCTGTAAAACTGCAGTCGTTCCACAGCATGTTCACATGAGGATGTTGTATTTACTGAGTGTTCTAAGCTCTTTTCTCACAGATAGGATGAACATAGTTTCCCAATATCCTTCATTTTTGTGGAATGCTAATTTTCCTATTTATTATAACCTGATTATGACAGAGGCATAATATGGGATTATAATAAATATGCCATTTTCATGTGTAATGCATTTAGTAGTTCATCTTCTTATCCCTAACAGCAAAGCAGGTAAATGGAAATTGGTAAATTTGTTAGGTCGCTGGGTACTTGTGGCAGCATAAATACAATACTCAAAGCATCTTCTCGTTATTAAGTAGTAGCTTGGCTTTGTATAGAATGAGAATTTGCATAGTTATTTTGCTTACATGGATGAATTTATGCACATATATATGCATGTGATATATGACATTCAAAATTATGCATGTGACTAGAATGCTTTGTTTAAAATTGCAAAGTCATACTATAATGTCACTATAAAAACATAATACCTTTAAATACATAAATATTCCTGCAGGAAGTTATAGCAGTATCTAAAAATTGAAGTAAAAAATTGTATCTAAATATTTGTGATCCATTGTTTTCTAAAGAAAATTTTATCTATTGATGAAAGAAAAGAGAGGATATTAAGTAATTCACGATATGCAATTTTCCAGCAATAGAAACAGCTTCCAAGAATTTTGTAGCTTGTGAAAGTGACTTAGCAAGGCTACAGGTCTTTAATGAGTGTTAGGCAAGAGTAGAATTAAGATCCTCTGGTATGATGTAAAGTATGCAAGACAAAATCCTTGTTTTGACATCCTAAATATACCTTGAAGAATATCGAAGTATCAACACATCAGTAAATAGAAAGAGAATACAACATATTTCTCTAGTCCTACAATTTCACAAATAACTTTTCGAACTAAGCTCTTTATTAAACTGTTAATGAAGTCAGAGTCTCCATTTATTTTATCTAGGTCTTAGAGCTGCTTGGCAGTAGTTTTACCTAGAGATTCTCACTTTCTTGGTTTACAGTGCCAAGATAGCTCTGTCATATTTACCACATTCTTCAGTTTAAAAAAAAAAAAAAACTATTTTCTTCTTTATTTTATTAAGTAGCCATTCAGGTGCAAACAACTAAATAAGTACTATGTCCCATCAACTCAGAAGCAATTTGACAAAGTGCACATGAATTTTATTTTGTTATAATCACAATTATTTACTAATGGTACACGTATGTTGAACACTGCAAACATTCTCTTATTAAATTGTACATTTCCACTGTCATTAACTAGTCCAAAATGATTTCCACAGGGTACTTGTTTTTCATCATAGCAAGCACCAAAAATCCAACTTTTCAAAAATATGGCATCATCTAAAGGGAAAATAGCATGCAATCTATTATGCTGAAATAGGTCTAAAGTTCGTGCTATGTCTGCATAGTATCACTGTAAATGTAAAGTTTCCCCTGCCTACTCTTGTGAATCCACAAGGGTAACCCAGGGTATTTCAGCACAGTTTGGGAACCATGGGTTTAATCCATATGACCCTGGATTTCCTTGTTCTGAGATATTTCCCTTTTAATCTCCGCTAGTTTTTGGAAATTCAGAATTAAAAGAAAATCTCTTAAGAAACCATCAGTTTTCGCTTTAATACTCTTGACTACACAACCCATTTTAGCCCATTGGTAGCTGTTCACTGCCACATGTTCAACAGCATTACCTCATTGGATCAGGAACACACGTCCTTTGTAGCTATTTACAGTTTGCAATTTGCCAAAATCCCGTTGTACCTCTTTTGAGGATTTCTTCAGTTGTATGTTTCTACCACTTGTCTTTCTATGTTTGGTCTTTGAATTTTAGCCTTTGATTTATTTGACTTTCAATGTTGTTACAAGTCATTTTTCCATTTTAATTATTAACTGCATTGGGAAATTATTATTTTAAACATACACCCAAGAAATGATGTTTCTGATTTGAGAATCGTTCTACTAATTTTAAGGTCTACTGATCTTACTACCTGTGATTTTATAAAAAATGAATTAAAATAATATTTCCAAGCATTCTAAAATTTCCTCAATTCCATTCAAAGTGGATGATTTTCCTTCAGAAATAATGAAAAAGAAAAAAAACAATAGCATATGGCAATATATAATGATTATGGCATCATATTGTTGTTTTTTTTTTCTTTCTTGTTGTAACTTTCAAAAAATTAAAGTTGTCTTGGTTCCAGGGGATGGAGCAAAACTATTTATTGCACATGCCATATGACAAAGGAATGTGGAATGGAATTGGAATTTGTTCATAAATAGAACATTAACCTTCCAATTTTAGAAGTCTTATTACTCTGAACTCTTGATAGCATATTAAAATAACTGATGCATTTTTACTTGTTTTGCTTTCCATAGTGATGTGTTTAAGTGCAAATGTATAGATTGACATATACAAAAGCACAAGAACAACATAATTTTTTAAAACATGGTCACTTCAACATCATATATATCAATATTTTATTTCAATTACACTATTTATAAAATTAATAATTATAGGAAGACATTTAATTTCCACAATGATTTTTTAATGAATCCTATATATCAAATGTATCATATGTATATCAATTAATGCTTCAAACTATCTTCAGGAGTCCGAATAGCTAGAATACAGTAAAACATGAATGATGGATACAAAAGCACATTATATTATATCATAGCTTTTAATCATGAAATATAGGCTATCTATAACTCTAAAAACTGGTAAGACTGCTTATAAATTTAATGTGAATTGAATTTAAATGGTATAAACAAAGTTGAATTCTACACATGCTCTGTCATGAAAGAAAAACCAAAAAATGTTAAGTACAAAATTTGTTTCTCCCTTAAAGCATTGGCATAGAGTTCCTAGACTCCTGGTTTTTCCTTTTGCTTTTGTTTATTGGTTTATTTTACTTGGGGTGGGTATGAAATTTGCAGAGGCATTCCATGGTTACTGACTCTGACTGTTCATCTTTCTCATGGATGTCTGGCATGATTCACTTAAGATGCATGATACTGCATGTGCTTTCTCCTCTGCTGTGGCCTCTGCTATATCATTTTTTTGCTTCCAGATAGCGGTGGGTGTGCTCGCAAACGTGCTGCCATGTCTGTCACATTAACATCTGTGAAGAGAGTTCAAAGTTCTCCAAACCTATTGGCTGCAGGTATAATATCACTGACTCACAGAATGTTGCATTTGAATGGCTTTATCTGACCTTTCTCTCTTTCCAGAATTATCTTGTTTAGATGATTAAAGTGGCTGTAAATATTTTCCTAATACCCCAAGGTTCTTATTTTTCTCATTTCAAGAATAGCTTCTAGTCCTTCTGACTATTGTTCTAAAAATGAAATCCAAAGGAAACTGATATCTTGTAGAAAACATTTTAAAAATCTAATTAAAAACAATAATATCCTTGCCAAAAATGTGTTGAGTAACTGCAAGTGTTAATAATTATTTGTTTTGGGATCTCATGAGCTAAAGCAATATAATGTTTAGTTAAGATAACTCTTAGGTACTTTAGTTGTTTCAACCTAAAAATTGTTGGGAGTATGGTCAAAAATTTGTGTTGGCAGGAAATGGAATCTTTATTAATTTGCCTCTTCATCAAAAGAGGCAAATTGATAATAAAATGTTAGTTTTGAGAGAAATCTTAAATCTTCCCCTAGTCCAATCTGTAAAGAACCTACACACACAGAGAGAGAGAGAGAGAGAGAGAGAGAGAGAAGAGAGAGATCGTGGTTAATGAAAATTAACTTGCAGAAGCTAATTGGGAGTATGCTATTTCAGCGTCCACCAAGGCAGGTCACCTTATAATAAATGTCTGTCATGATTTCCCTGAGTCTGTAGTGTAGGCCGAGTCTATACTTGGAGGGACATGTGTAAGTACCAAGTACCCCAACGACTCCAAAATCTCTACACCCTGAGAAATGTACCCAGATCTCTGGGTGACTGCTGGTTGGTTTGATTGTTGGCTGTTTGGTTTGGGGTTTCTTATTTTTATTCATAATATTCATGGATTTGGAGGCAGAAGTAGGAAAAAGATGGAGTGTTGAAATAATTTAAATTTGTGTTGTACATATCAGTGTCTTACATACATACACTTAGTAGTTAATTAAATATTCAAGATGTTCTTATCTTTAAAGCTACTTAATACTGAACTACCCACTTTTGTTAAGGAAAGAAACAAACTTCCATATAGAGAATCCCATCCCTGCCCATCACCCCCAATCCACAAATGGTTTTCAGTGTCTAAGTAAATAGACATATGGTACCAGATGGTACAGTGGTATGTTTCTAAAAATGCAAGTTGCACTGAGATGTGTTTAGTATGATTTCATGTGGGTCAAAAATTTTATATACATGTATATGTATTTGTACATGTATATGTATTTGTATGTGTTTACCAGTATGGATGAACATGAACAAATATCAGAAAAAAATGGTATTGATCAATATGAAAAAATATCAGAAAAACTACAAATGTGCTTTTACATTGAATATCTTAGGGATATGGGATGGAGAGAAGTAACGAAATAAGTAAAATCCAGGAACATCTAATAATTGGAATGTCTGTGCTATGAATATCATGAACATTTCAGTCAAGTAAATTCTAGTCAGACTGCCCAGATGTGGACCATTGATGCACAGGCAAGAGAATGTGGTTGCTAAACAACAGCAATCACTATTTATGAAATCAACCCCCATGGGAACAATATTAGCTTGAACTAGAGATAGCCATTTTGTAGAGGCACAACTAGGATATCAGCAAGTTCAAGTCACTTAGCTTAATGGAAAGCCTTAATACTTATGAGATATGAGTAATCTTTGGGAATAAGATTATGTAATGGCTCTGGACCATTTAAAATTTTTTATTGCTAAGAGTAAGATTTCCAGAGAAAGAAGTCCCCTGAATTTTGGACTTAACTGTTAAATTTTTCTAAAAAAAAATAGATATCTTTGCATTAATTAGACACATAGAATATAATCCCTTTTTCAAAGAAGTTTTGATTTCATTTTAAAGAAAGAAATCAATTTATTTTTGCCCAATCACATTATATGGTAGCCTCACAAAGATTTACTTGACACAGTATCTGTGTAAATCAAAAGGGAATTAATAAATATTTATTGCACTAGATATTATTAAAATAAAGCAGCCTTTGCTAAAAGACCACCTCCACAAAGAATTCCAAGCTTCCCTCTCTCTTCTCTCAGATTAGAAAATCAACATACTAATAGTTATCAATGATTTGTCCCCTACATCAGTCTTTCACTTTTCCTTTTATAAGAAGTAAAATCCAGGCCTCCCCTGGTGGTGCAGCAGTTGAGCGCTGGGCTGCAAAGCTGCCTGCAGCCTCTGCAGCACTGGTTCGATCCCCGGCCACTGGCGAGGGTCCCACATGGCGTGCAAACCTCTCCTGCCGCGCCTGCTGCTCCCCTCAGCAGTGTATTTCATCAGTTTGCCTGCTCTGTTTCCCGCTCTGGCTCTGGTGAATTCTCTCACCCTCCCGCGCTTCTGACTGTACCCAGTGCTTGTATAGATAGATAGATAGATAGATAGATAGATAGATAGATAGATAGATAGATAGATAGATAGATAGATAGATAGATAGATAGATAGATAGATAGATAAATTTAAAAAAAAGTATTATAAGAAGTAAAATCCCACACAAACTTCATAGCAGACACTAATGCTTTAAACCTACACTAGAAAGAAAACAATGACTACCAACCCTCAATAACCCTTTCAAAGTATATTTTATTTTACCAAAACACTTGGCAGTCAAGGTTGCATTGATAAGGGTGTGTGTACTGAGGTGACCAGATCGCTGTGCCACAGATGGGGCCAGCCGATGCCTCCTGCCCATTCACACCCTTAAGAAGACTCATCTGTCTGTTTGTACCTCAGTTTCCTTTCTTAAAAGATAAAGAATTTGTCTGATATTCTCCTGCCTCTCTGAGAATTTAATCATTCCCTAAACAAGCCAGATTTAACAGGACTAAATGAGGGTAAATGAAGAAAATTAATGGAAAAACTGGTAGTACTTCAAAACACGGTAGGCATCCAATTAGTTGACTTGAATTTAATTAATGTTAAAATTAATTCACATGAAGCACTTGAACCCTCTAAAGAAAGGAGTTGTAAGAATTAAAATCATGATTTCCACGAAAAGTATAGTTCAAAATGTCAATATAGTGTGTACATCACTTAAAAGGAATTTAAATAAAACTAGAATAGAGATTATGTTGTAGTCAACTCCACAAACATAACTACTTTATTTTTTTTTAATTTTTTTTCAAAGATTTATTTTTATTTATTTATACATGCACTGGGTACTGTCAGAAGCGCAGGAGGGTGAGAGAATTCACCAGAGCCAGAGCGGGGAGCAGAGCAGACAGAAGGACCGAAGTACACTGCTGAGAGGAGCAGCGGGGGGCAGGAGAGGTCTGCGCGCCATGTGGAACCCTCCTCCGGTGGCCGGGGAGCAGCCGGGGATCGAACCGGCGCTGCAGAGGCTGCGGGCAGATTCGCAACCCAGCGCTCAACCACTGCACCACCGGGGAGGCCCAACACAACTTCTTTAAAATCACAATATCAGAGTTATGAAGTTGGAAAGGACATTTGAGGGCATCTGGTCCAATCTTCAACACCAAGCCAGCAAGGACAGGACAATCTCTCTGACAGACATCCTCCACTTTCTGCCATACTAATGGAGAGCTGTTTGTGTTCTTCATTCTCAAAGACCCTATTTATATACACAACCAAGGGAATTATAAATCTGTCCCATGTGCTTATTCTTAAGTTTTTAAAGAAGCAATGACTGCCTACTAAAGAACACTGGAATTTAAGGGCACTGATCTCTCAAGTTTAGCTCTGTTTGTTGACAAGAATCATGAAGAATGATAATGCAATGCCATTTTCTCCTCACTACTGCCAAGTCTTTTTTTTTTTTTAACTTGTTTTCTCTTTATTTGACATGGGTGCAGGATTTTTATGCTTTCTCTGTTACCTTCTCTGAAACACACTTGTTCTACCTTTCCTAAGTTTTCCTGGCACTGATAAAATACAAGTAGGGCTGCAGTGAACAGTATTCATGTGGGAAGGTATTTATCTTTCAGTGCCTCTGAAGAGCCATCATAAAATAGCAAATCAGGATTATATGTTTTAAATGTCTATAATTGGATTTATTGTAAAGAAATCAAAATGGTATACTCTTAAGAGGCCATCCATTTAAAACTAGACTTTAATTGTTCACAAAAGTTTCAGTAAAACTTGTGTTCATCCTGGAATTTTAATCCCTCTCTTAATTCTATGCATTTGTGTCCACCATGTGATGCAGCACTTTTCTATAGGGCTCATCATTACTGAGAGCTCCTATTTCCTATTGCACAAAGTACATTTTCTTTTGAAAATCCCTGAGCCCAGTATGGGGAAAGGGTAAGCACCTAGTCAAAACTAGAGCCACTGTCCTCTGATTCTCTTATTTAATATTTATCCCACTTAAGTCTCCGTAATCTCCAGTCTCAACAGTACGGGGAAACAGAAGTGGCCCTCTGCAAACTGTCACTTAGAGGATGCTTATTTCAAGTGTCATTCAGATTTACTCAATATACACTCCTCTTCCTCATCTACACCTCTCTCACCTCCAAGCATCAGGCTTCTGTGGCATCCACTGAAGTACAGATCCATACATCCTGCCTTGTGAACTTTTGTATTATCAAATCAAGAGTGAAATAAACTTTACTCAAGCAATTTTTTATACTATAAATATAATAATTATTATTAATGCTGCTTCTCTTTTCATTGCCATTTTCCAAGTCCCAAAATTTGTTCCTTGTTCACAAATAATATGTGGCACCCAAGTGGTTATTAAATCTCTTGCCTTGAGTGCCCCATTGCAGAATTCTAGTGATTGCTCTATATTATTAAATTTTTTGACTTTTCCTTATAAAGCCTTCATCATCATTTAAGGTATTCAGAGTTTCAATCATTTCTACTTCCATCAGATCCTAAAATTAGAGTCTAGTAAACATCTCATGTATAATTTTTCAAATTTATTTTTATTTTATGGTACACATTTTATTACTCTGATTTTTAATGCAATGGAGGTAAAATCCATAGTAAATTAGCAATTATCTCATTGTGGTGGAAGATTTATTAGTATTTTTTGACTAACCTGTGCTAGAGTCATTCTAATATACTCGATGCTGATTCACAATTATATGTCTTTTTTGATTTGCAAAAGCTATCAAATAATTTACTAAAAATATATGCTTGCATTTCTCAACTCATTTTCATCATTCTAAAATCATTTGTCCAGATATCAAATTAAATATTCCTTTAGCGTTATAAAGGAAAATGAAGAATCTTTCTTATATATAACATTCGTGTTACTATAGTCATTGAAATAAGAGTAATTCCTTAGCAGTCCCTGGGAACACAAAGAAGGAATCCAAGACCTGGACAGCAGATTAGGCTGAATGACCCCTAAGATCCTTTCCAAAGTCAAGATTTAATGATTCTATCAATAGGTGAAATTGACCGTGTGGTAGAACAGAACCAAGCAATACATATTGATTATCTGGAGTGTGCATAAGTTACAGAAGAGTCTTAACTGAATAATTCCAATAAAACTAATAGCAAATATGTCACTGCAACACTTTCCAACTGTATTTCCAGAAACAATTTATTGGTACTGAAATTTGTTTTCACAGTTCCTAGCTGCAAGACAAGACAATGAACATATTGTTACAACTCTTTCATATTTGAATATAAATGACAATAATAAAACACAACATCGTGAGAATCATTTGAAAATATTGTATAATATGGTAGACACATTTATTCTTACACAAAGTAAAAAAAAAATGCAAATTGCAAAAAAAAATTCTATTTAACATAGACATTAAAGATTATCAGTCTGTCCAGGAAGTTAAAAGCTTAAAAACTAATGGTTTGACTTATGCTAAGAGAAGCCGTCATTGTTTCCAAACTAGATTCCTCTTGATACTTTAATTTGATCTTTAGAAATTCATATAACCAGTTTGGGCGAATAAGATTAAAATTACATGGTTGTAATTTATTGAGGTGAAGAATCAGTGTTTGATATATATGTGTCAACTATACGTCATAGATATTTCATAACAGATATTCCAAGTGAAGTAAAAATAAATACACAAACCACCCATTAGTATATTTCACTTACCTAGAATTTTCCAACTTACCCAGGTTATGTTTGCAAAAAGAAAATGCATGTGGCTTTTGACAAATGATTTTTACTATATTGTTCACTCTTTTAACTTACTATTAATATCAACATTTTTTTTTCTTTTAGGGCGTGATTCTCAGTCACCAGACTCAGGTACAGAAATGTTATTCTGAATAATCATTACATTCATTGTAAGTCTTTTTTTTTGGATATTCATAACCACATTGTTGCCCTCACAGTAAACTTAAATTGCATAATATGCAATATGCAATGGCATATTAAATTGAATTAAATATTTGGAAAGAAAACTTTTTTTTTTTAATTAATAAATTTTATTTTTATATTCCCCATACAATTGCAATCCCCCCATTCTGACCCCAATCCCTCCCCTCCCGCCCCCACCCCAAAAAGTGTCTCTGGTTCATAGTTTTTGTTGATTTTGATTTTCACTTTCTTATAGTTATTCATTTTCCTGGTCCCTTATTTAAGTTTTCTAGATCCCTGCTATGAGTGAGACCATCCGGTATTTTTCTTTTTCTTTTTGGCTTATTTCACTGAGCATGATCCCTTCCAGCGTCATCCATGTTGCTGCAAATTGCATGTGTTTATCTTTTTTGAATGCTGAGTAATATTCCATGGTATATATGTACCACATCTTCTTGATCCAGTCATCTATTTTTGGGCATTTGGGCTGTTTCCAAAGCTTAGCTATTGTAAACAGTGCTGCTATAAACATAGGGGTGCAGGTGTTCTTTGGAATTGATGTTTCTGTGTTCTTTGGGTAAATACCTAGGAGTGGAATTGCTGGATCCTGTGGAAGCTCTATGTTTAGTAGGTCCAGAAATCTCCACACAGCTCTCCATAGTGGTTGGACCAGTTTGCACTCCCACCAACAGTGCAGAAGAGTTCCTTTTTCTCCACAACCTCGCCAACATTTGTTGTTGCTAGTTTTTTTAATATGTGCCATTCTCACTGGTGTAAGATGGTATCTCATGGTAGTTTTGATTTGCATTTCCCTGATTGCAAGTGATGTTGAACATTTTTTCATATGCCTGTTGGCCATTCGCATTTCCTCTTCAGAGAAGTTTCTTTTAGTTCCTCTGTCCATTTTTTGACTGGATTATTTTCTTTGTTGTTGTTGAGTCTCATCAGCTCTTTGCAGATTTTTGTGATCAGTCCTTTATCATTAGTGTTGGGTGCAAAAATTTTCTCCCAGTTGGTGGGGTTTCTCTTTGTTTTTGTTATTGTCTCTTTTGCTGTGCAGAAGCTCTTTAATTTGATGTAGTCCCAGCTGTTGATCTTTGCCTTCACTATCACTGCTTTGGGTGATGTGTCTGTAAAGATGTCTTTGATATGCAAATCACGTAGTGTTTCGCCTATGTTTCCTTCTATGTATTTTATGGTTTCAGGTCTTATGTCTAGTTCTTTAATCCATTTTGAGTTGATTTTTGTATATGGTGTGAGGTAGTGGTCAAGCTTCATTCTTTTGCATGTAGCGACCCAGTTTTCCCAGCACCATTTATTGAACAAACTTTCTTTGCTCCAATGCATAGTCTTTGCTCCTTTGTCAAAGATTAGTTGACCATAAATCTGTGGGTTTATTTCTGGATTTTCTATTCGATTCCATAAAGAAAACTTTTTTGAAATGAAAATAGAGTTAATATAAAAAGTTACAAATGAATGTAGATATTTTTGTATCCAATTTGTTTCCCCTTAATAAAAGCTTGGAGATCTTACAATGATCGAAATCAAGAGACACTGAATGGAGATGCTACATATTCCTCTCTTGCAGCAAAAGGTTTTAGAAGCGTTCGACCAAACCTACAAGAAAAAAAATCGCCACCTCAGGTAATTCTACACCTGTATACTGTGTTATTTTAAACCATGGTTATTACACCATTGCTTTAGAACCTATTTTCTAAAAAGATGCAATTTATGGTGTCATTTATTTTAAATATGTTGTTGCTTTTGTATTTGCATTGCTCACCACACTTGTGTAGTTATAATATGGAAGAAATGTTTCAAGAAATGTTCAATAAATTAAAACAGGTTTTGGGAGGTTTTTCTGAACTGGTTCATAAAAGTAGGTCAGTTTCTGACATGATTTGGGTAGTCTCTAATTCTTAAAAAACTGTCAGCTGTTGCTTTGGATTTCAAAGTTATGAAGTCAGCAATGCATTATTTATTCAATAAATATGAGTTATGCAGTTGTTCATTATATTAAATAAAGGAACTCTATGTTGGAGAAATAAGTAAAATATTATTGAAAAAATATGACTAAATAAACACCGTGTGTGTGTGTGTGTGTGTGTATGTGTGTGTAACGTATGCCTCAAGGTTTGGAGAACATATGTACACTTTTAACATAATTTCCCAAAATGTCAATGGAGACAAACTTTATATTCTCTATAAAAGTTATTTTCCCTCAGAGGGCAATTATTGATAATAAATTAAAATGAATTATAGTAACATGGAGTAATATGATCTTTCAATCTAGTCAGCAAATTGTTAGCATCAGGAAAAGACATGACTTTATTCTGCTTTCTTTAGGGGTAGAGTTGACACTGGTTTCTTTAATGACTAATTTTGACTTTCTCTCTGTTTTTCCTTCAACATCATTTCTTTCTCTGGATACTTTTGGCAATTCAGGCACCCCTTCCACCCTCCAGAAAAGAGAGTTTGAGTAGCCCTTTGATAACCAGTCATCCAAAGGGTGACATTTTAGACCAACTAGTGACTAACATACAAATTCCCTCCTGTATAGAGGACTCTACTAACAGGAAATCTTTACAGGGAATTATGTGTTCTAATGAAGACGCTAATCAGACAATTGTATATTCTGAAGAATCTAACACAACTGTGTCATATACACAAAAAATTACTAATTCACTGCCTGCAACTTCCAGCACAGGTCCCTCACCAAATGCTGACATGAGTACCCCATTCCTGCAAGAAGACTACGTGCAAGATTCTCAAACACGGAGAATTTCTACATTAAAACTAATCCAGAACCAGGACTTAGGAAGTAGTGTTCCTTTTAATCCCCCACAGTTTTCCAAACCTGTTGAAGTACCATCATATCTCAAAAAACCTTGCTTACCACCCCCTAACCCAGTGCCTGAGATACACACAGCATCCCTTTCCATTCAGATAGCTCCTCTTTCAGGACACGATACTGAAAGCCACAAACAGCTACATGAGCTTCCTCCTGAGACTACAAAGATACCTCTTCAGCAAGAGAAACAAAAACCTGCAGTTGCTGTGGCCTCTCAGTCCTCAGACAGCCAGGCGGTACTTTATACTTTCCAATCTCTTCTTACAGGTGTACTGGGGGGACCCTAATGCCTTTGGTGTGCGCTTCTTATATAACCCAATGCTTCATTAGTTTTCAAGTTGAAAGGGAAAGGAGAAAGAAACCTTCTTCCTATTTCAAATCCTACTAAATTAACCAGTATATTTCTAGATGTCTTTAATTTTAGAAATATTCACATCTTTTATCCAGAAGTTGTTTCTAAAACTCTTTTCCTTAGAGATATTTATTAGAAATCATTCGTGGTCTATTATCACTTATGACTCTGTAAACCACCTTAGACTTTTATTCTAACACTTTAATTTAAAAGACTTTTAAATTAAAAAAATATGTATTTCTCATGCCTGACCTTTAGGTACCTAAATCTACTTTATTTACATGTATGTGATATCTTAAAATGTTAATTATAATTCACTTTGGAAAGAAACATTTACTTAATTCAAGCAGTATTTACCCCTTTGCAATATTCATTTTTACTAAACCTTGAATTTCTAGCTTTTCAAATGCATCACTTCAGAAAGTATATTAATCAGCCTTTGATAACCAGAATGTTAGGGAGTAAATCTTTATTTCCCTACATGTAAAATTCTTTCAAAGTACCATTCTGCTGATATTGCTAATATGTTTAGAAGAGAAGCATGTTCTTCTCCTTGATTTCTCCACAAAATGAGGTATGCTTAAGAGCATAAGCTTTAAGGAAAAACTAAATTCCAATCCATGTTCCATCACTGGCTATGTGATGAGGCAACCACCTCAACCTCCCTGTAAATCTGAACAAGGAAATGAGACTGTTGATTAGTATCAATCCATAGGTTTTAGTAGGACTAGGGAGAGAATAGATGCAAAGTACTTAGAACAAAGCAAACAATGAATAGTTGGTAGCCATTCATGAAATATATAATACTGTCAGCAACAACAGCAGTAGGAATATTAAAAACACTCCTAAGCAATTTATATAATACTATTTCCTGCAGTTGTACTATTAAAGATGTACAAAACATATCCTAGAAGAGATGATAGAATTCCCTGCAAGTCATGCAAGGATTTCCATTTTATTCTCAATTAAAATGGAAGTCACTGGGGGATTTTGAAGGCCCCACTATTATTGCTTGTCTTATATCATAGCAAAATCATTCTGACTATTTGGTTGAGAACAAATATCATAGGGCAAGAAGAAGAGTGAGCAAGTTGGTTAGGTAACTATTGCAACAATTTAAGTGAGAAATTATGGTGGCATAAAGCAGGGTTGAAGCAGTGGAGGTGGTAAAAAGTCAGATTCTGAATGTACTTTGAAAATAGAGTAAACAGAACTTCCTGACAGATTGCATGTGGGACGTCAGAGAAAGACTCCAAGGTTTTAAGTCTTTGCAACTGGAAAGGATGGAATTTGCTGTCAACTGAGACTGGATGACTGTGGGTAGACGACTATGGGGAAAGCAGATTTGTTTAAAAATTTGGGACATGATCAATTTGGGATGTCTGCTAGACATCCATGCGGAGAGGTCAAGTACACAGTTGCATGTATGAGTTTGTAGTTCAGATGGAAGGCTCAGGTTGGAGATATAAGCCACCAGCTCATGAGTGGTTTTTGTAGTCATGAGACTGAATGAGATCCTTAGGGCTAAAGCATAAAGGAAAGAGGTATAAGCACTGGGCCCAAGTGTACCCCAGCAGTAAGATGAAGAACTCCCACAGAAGACTAAGGTACAGAGAAAACCAGAAAAATGTGACACCCTCAAAGCCAAATGGGGAAAGTGTATCAAGAAAGGATGGCTAGCTCTGCAAATCTGTGTTGACAGGGCAAGTATCAGATGTGCTCTAACTTACTGACTTCATAGAAGTAAGGAGGACTTTCTTGAACCAGGCTGAAGAGAGACTAGGAGAAGATCAAGTTAGACAGTCAGCTCTTACAAGGTGTTACTGACTATTCCCCCTCCCTGAACCTCAGTTTTGTCATATAAAATAGGGGTAATGCTGGCATTCATCTTGCAGCATTGTTGTGAGGTTTGAATAAGATGTTGCTTGGCATAGTAACTGCTACATGTAATGCAAAAATAAATACCCCCACAAAAATACCTCAGTAGCTATTGTTATTTTTCCAAGTTATGCATTTGTTTGGGAAAAGGAAATCTATGATTTTAACAATATTTCTTTTTTTGAGTCAGTAAATAAAAGTTTATTTCATTCAACCAGTAGTTTGTTCCAAGGTGACATTGTATTGCCTTTTATACGATATATTAAAAGATGACATAAAGCTATGCAATTTGGACATTTTGGAAAATTGTAGTGAGAACATTTAATGTGAGATCTATCCTTCTAAAATGTTTTAAAATGTGTCATACTATGTTGTTAATATAGGTGCAATGCTGTATAAGAGTCCTCTAGAACTTCATCATCATGTTTCACAGAAATTCATGCCTTTTGAACTGCAGCTCCTCCTTACCCTCACCCCCACACTAGGCAACCCCCATTCTATACTCCAGCTCTATGATTTTGACTATTTTAGATACCTCATGTAACTAGAAACAAGCAATATTGTCCTTCTTTAACTGGTTTATTTCACTTAGCACAACGTCCTCAAAATTCATTCAAGTTGTCACATATGATAGGATTTCCTTCCCTTTTAAGGATGAATAGCATTCCATTGTATGCATGTACTACTTTTTTTTATCCATTCATCTATATTTAGGTTGTTTCAACATCTTGTCTACCGTAATATACTTCATTTTTTGTCTCATTTTCCTTGTAGTTGGCTTTCATCATAGTGACCTTATATATGCAGAACTTATGTTCTGCCTTCTGGCAAAAAGTCTTAGTAAATGCCAAGAGCTGTAACCTACACACTATGAATAAGCCAAGTATATGCTCTGTTATAAAAAATTATCTTCCCCAGAAATTATTGGATCTAACAAATAAACATTTTCTACACTGAGAGGTGAAAAGGAAACATTGATGTTCTAGAGGTTTCACTTACACATTTTGCTGTTTTTCTTAAAATTTGTTAGTTTAAGAAGAAAACTATAGCCTACTATTAGAAATTTTAATTCTCTTCATATGTAATAATCTGATAAGCTGTGTGTTTTAATTTCCCCCCTATGAATGATGTAGACAGAGAACACAAAACAAGGTATGTCACCCTCTGTAATTGTGGGAGCAGATATCCTGCCATTAAAAATGTCACCTTCTTCTCCACATCAGACAAGTCAAAGTCTAAGCTGGAAACTTTGAAAAGACAGTAAAAGCTATACCCCCAAACATGTTCTCTGGCATTTATTAGTGTTATAATTTTTGCTTCAGGAGAATAAACTTGCCCCTTTTATAATGAAATAATGTACTCAATTATTTGCCAAAGTCTCACTTCCACAGCTGCTGCTGCCCTTATGTTGGAGACCCAGAGGGGAATTTGTCTCACTGTCATGGAGAAGAGGGAGGAAACTCATCTCTTTTGCTCCATGAGGTCAGGAGGTGGATGTTAAGGAAGACAGAATAATGAGTAAATGTCAGCAATGTGGTATGATAGAAAAGTGTAGAATACAGA